GATTACCAGAACCACCATTCATGTTTGTAAATAGAGCACCACTCACATCAGCGGTGCAGCTCCTACCCAGATTACATTCCCATATTGCCCGGACTCTGCCATGCTGTGCTGGACACTTAGAAGATGAAAAAAAACAGTCCATCTACCCAAAATTACTGAATGGGCCACTGCAGGAACAGGGACGTCTGACCAGAGAACTTGGAACCTCAGTCCCACCATAGTTGCTCCACAGTCCTCACCCTGTCCAGAAACCAGCTTTACACATTCTGCCTATGGGCCACCCCCTACCTGATAGCATGTCCATGTCTGAATGGGGATGCTGGGAAGGAGAGGATTGGAAACCAGTATGTATTCATACCTGTAATAATGGTGGGTGGGTTACTTTACCTTCTCCCTTCCAGTACTGCTACTGGCCAACAGGGTAGGGCCTAGGCAGGACGGACACACAGACACACGCACGCACGCACGCGCACACACACACACACACACACACAAAAACACACACACACACACCTCTGCACCCCAAGAGCCACAGAACTCTGCTGATTAAAGATTAATATGGGCAGCTTGCAGTCACTGTAGCTGCACTGGAGAGGAGAGGGAGGGAGGGAGGGAGGGAGGAGAGGGAGGAGAGGGGAGGGAGAGGGTGATGACGAACAATAAGGCTGAGAAAAGGGGTGGGGGGGGGGGCAAGGACAGATCCTGGGGGCTGCTAAAAATAGAAACGAAAGAATGAAAGGCACAGAGGAGAGAGAAGGAGAAGGGGAATAACCAAGAGTAGAAATGAGTCATTTACAGGGAGGGGGGAGGAGAGTGAAAAAGGAAAAGGTAATCAATCAGATGGGTGCAGACGGTTTCTCCCGATTCAGACAGTGGTGGCCCAGTAAGTTAGCTCTCTACCTGCAGAGGACCAGTACCAAGTCACAGTCAGCAAGTGAGCAAAGTCCTCCCAAATCCGCGGAACGACGGAAAATGCCGTCCATAGCAACAGGTTTTAGCTCAGGTGCCAGCCTGTTACACAATGCCAGGGGGCCCAGTATGGCAGTGGTGTGTGCTGCAGATGCAGTGGTTGTGCACAGACATGTGGAGCTACCAATTTTCT